CCACAATTGCTTTGCCTTACTCCCTCCCTTACCTCTTACAGGGCATGACTCAAGACCCTCCTTTTCGACCATGCTTTCAGCTGCCCTCCTACCTCTCTGTCCACCCTCACCCTAACCGTGCCCCGCCACGCTCTGGTCATGATCCCCGACAGTTCGGCGCCTTGGGACATCCTCCCGACATGAAAGGAGCTTTACAAATATGATTTTACAAATGTAATTGTTATAGACGGAAGGGCAGAGGCTGTTGAGCGGATCTCCTCAACTTGGGACATCCAGCATCGCCTCACAGTTGGCGTTGGAGGATAGGATGGGCAGAGGAGAGTTGGGTGGAGGAGCTGGTTGGTGATGGAGAAGAGTAACTTGGGGTTGTCCTTGAAGTAGAACGACCATTTAGCGGAGGCGAGGGCGGAGGGTAAGATTTGATAAGCTCCAGCCAGATCTGCCGATTGACTATTAAGTTGGATTTGAATCAGGTGCGTTCAGTGGGAAGCACCACTGAACCTGTGCCTTAAGGGAGTGAGGGGTGACAACGGATGTGGGTGGTTGGTGTACCAGGGTGACTTTCATGAGTAGGAGATGGAGCAAGAGCATCGAGAGTGGTGGAGAGGGAATTGTGGAGGAGAGTGACTCAGGATAGGTCATTGTGGGAGGAAACCCAGAGGAGGAGTTCAGATGACTCCAAGGCAGCGGAGGTGGGGGGGAGATTTTTTTTCAGGGGGGTTAGGAGATGGAGGTGGGCAGGGTGGCGGTGGGGAGAGGGATTGAAGAGTTAAGGGAGATAAAATAATGGTCCAAGATGACTTTGTCGGTGATGGTGAGGTCCGAGATGGCCCCAGGTGATCAGCAGGTTGAGGGGGTGACAACGGACGTGGGTGGCGGAGTGGATGTGGAGGGAGAGGTTGAAGAAGGAGAGGAGAGAGAAATCAGCAGAGGTAGAGCAGGAGGGGGTGAGGTGAAGCTTGAAGTCGTCTAGGAAAAGGAGGCCTTAGGAGCAGAGGGAGATGGAAGATAGGAGGGTGAAGACGTCAGGGAGGAAGGCGGGGGGAGGTCTTGTGGGAGCGATAGATAAGGAGAATTTTGAGAAAGTTGGAGGAGTAATAAAGGCTAAGGTGCTCAAAGAAGGGGAAGGTTCCGTAGGAGTAAGGGATAGGTCAAGTGGGGACTGGGAGATGAGAGCCACACCGCTGTCACGGTGGTTAGGTCGTGTAGTATGATTGAAGGTGTAGGCGGGGGGTGTGGCCTCTGTCAGAGAAAACGCTAGTATTTTTAAGATATTTATAAGTTGCCTCAGGTTCTCTCTTCTGGTTTACGATACTCTCAGAAATGCTGGATTGAATTCCTATTTTGTAACTCACTGCCAAACATCTAATATTCTATATTTATGACATTCAAGTACATATAAAAAGTGCACTAAAGAACTAACATAAAATTCAGAATTGATACCTTTGTTTTAACTATGTTTGAGTACCTTTGAAGAATGCTGATAAACATTATTTCAAACAACATCACACAAAAACAAGGAATTGAAATGTTTTTAACCCTCTCTAACTGCCTGGGGGTCGTGAGGCTTACCAAGTGCCAGATGACCTGAGGCACGGTCAAAGAGGAAAGTCATGAGACGGGCAAGGCAAAGGGACTCTGGAATGGAGCTAGAAAGCAGGAACAAAAAGGCTGAAGGCCTGTCCGCTGATGGTGGGGCTGGTAGGATGGTGTACACAAAGCAGGCCATTACTCTTCTGAGCAGAGGGAGCAGGCGGTTTGGTTGTTTTTTAAAAGTCACAGAGGTAGGGTGGGGTAAGACCAGTGGAGGGATTTGTAAAGTGAAGAAGAGGCTCTTCAATTCAATCATCTGGGGATTCAATCATCAATTCAATCAGTGGAGCCAGCCAAGGATGGGTGGGGGGTGATAGCCTTGCAGAGGGGAAGCAACTCTTGGCCCACTCTCCTCGCGCGGGTTTGCTGGCCTCCAGTGGCCATAGATATAAACCTTTAACTCAGTTGGAATGCTGACAACAAATAACAGCTTATTCGCTATCTTCTGCTCGCAGCATTCAAACAATTACAATATCAACATTTCCTGGCATTTTTCGAAACCGAAACCCCTCAAGCTTGGGTGCAAACCCTTCCCTATCCAATACCTTGGGACATTCTCTCGACGTGAAGGGCACACTATAAAAGCAAAATGTAATTTAAAAAAAGGTAAATACAGGTAACATTGGTACTGGCATTGTAATTACTTACACTCGATTTCTCCCCCTATCCCCCATTTATCTGGCCAGCTGGGGTTAATAATAATAATACTTGCATTTGATATAGCGCTTTTCACATCTTCTAGATGTCTTAAAGCCTTCACAGAATATACTGTAAAGTGAATTGACTGTATATTTGGGGTTTAAGTGTATATGTTTTTTGCACAGAAAGGGATGTAAATTGTACAGACGTATATGTTGTGCATTAATAATATAAAATGTGATAAGGCGCTATATAAAATGCAAAGATTATAAAATCCGACTTGTGCATAACTCATACTTAGTGTAAGTTGTATTATACGATTTAGGTGAATATGAGAGAAAATATGCAAGTTCAGAGTGCTAAAGTGGGGCCCCAACCCACAACTTTCTGAACCACTGAAGAGGCGAGACCAACTGAATTAGGCATTTCAGACAAGGGAAATTTCTGGGTGTAGATAACTTATCTACATGGAACCTTCTGGTTTGGATGCTCTGATACAGTTGTGCATGTGTCAAGGCTGAAACAACCTAGCCTATTACCTCAGCCCTCACCACGTGAGGGACCCGACTGCTGGGGCTCTCACTCCACCTCTGTAAACAGCCTTACAGAAGTTTCAGAAGGGGAAAGACGCTGAGCAACTCATTCACACAACATGAGAAACGAGACCGACCCTGAGCGAAGCAGGGTAGGATTCTCAACCTCCTCTTCCTGGCCAACACCCACAGAGGTGACACTGGCTCAGTATTGTAAAGGTCACAGAGGTAGGTGAAACTGGAGGCAAAGGACAACCCCAGGCTTCTCTTTTCCATCACAAACCGTCTCCTCCATCCACCTTCCCACGCCTCGCTCATCCTCCAATTGTAAGATACTGGACTTCCTCAAATCCAAAATCGAGGGGATACATTCAGCCACCTTTGCCCCATCCACCGCCATCCCCACATCACCTCTCCCTCATGACCCACCCCCACCCATCCCCCTCCATACTCCTTCGACCCTATCTCTCCCTCCTTCCACACTGCCATCGTTCGCAAACTCAAACCGTCCACCTGCTCCTTCAATCCCATCCCCACCTCTCTCCTCATCTCCCGGCTCCACCTTCTGATCCCTCTCCTATCTGATGTCATTAACCTCTCCTTTCCACCGGTTCAGTTCCCACCCCTCTAAAAATAGCCGTCATCACCCACATCCTGAAAAAAACCTTCCCTGGACCCATCCCTCCTCTCCAGCGACTGCCCCATCTCTAGCCTCCCATTCCTCTCCAAGGTCCTGGAACCAGTCATCACAAACAAGCTCCGCTCCTTTCTTTCTCGCCATTCCCTCTTTGAACCTCTCCAATCCAGCTTCCGTGCTGCCCATAGCATGGAAACAGCCCTGGTCAGTCACTAATGACATTCTGAACATCTGTGATCAGGGCTCCCTCTGCCTCCCTGTCCTCCTTCGACACTGTCGACCACTCCATCCTCCTACACCGCCTCTGCTCTTTACTTAATCTTCGCGGACGTGCCCTTGCCTGGATCGAATCCTATCTATCTCACTGTCTCGATTTTGTTACTTCTAACAGTTTCTTCTCCAGCCCCCGTACTGTCACGTCTGGCGTCCCCCAGGGCTCTGTCCTTGGCCTCTCCTCTTTAATATCTACATGCTCCCCCTTGGTGACATCATCCACAGACATGGGGTCAACTTCCACATGTATGCAGATGCACCCAACTCTTTCTGCATTCACCCTCAACTCCAGGACCACTGCCTGTCGGACATGAGGGCAAATTTCCTACAGTTGAATGTGAACAAGACTGAGGCCCTCTTGATCGGCTCGCGCCAGCACCTCAGGCTGTGGCAGCATCAACCTCCATGGTGCACACTACAACTCAACAAGCCAGTCAGGAACCCAGGTGTCTTGTTCAACCCTCAACTGTCTTTTATTCCCCACATCCAAGCCATGACCTGCTCTGCCTTCCCTCACTTCCGTAGCATCGCCCGACTCCACCACTACCTCCACCCCTCAGGCCACTGAAACTCTTGTTCATGCCTTGATCACCTCCAGGCTCGACTACGCAAACGCCCTGCTTGTCAGCCTTCCCAACTCCTCCCTCCACAGGCTGCACATAATCCAGTACTCTGCAACCCGTGTCCTCTCCCGCACCAAACTCCGTGACCCCATCTCCCCCGACTCCATTGGCTCTCTATCCATCAGAAGATCCAGTTCACGATCCTGGTCCTCAGCTACAAAGCCCTCCATGGCCTCGCCCCACCCTACTTCTGCATCCTCCTAACCCCCTACCAACCCGCCCGTTCCCTCCGCACAGCCGGCTCCAGCCTGCTCCACGTCCCCCGACCCGCCCGCCCCACCAACGGCGGAAGAGCCTTCAGCCACTCTGCCCCCAACCTCTGGAACTCCATCCCCCAGTCACTCCGCCTCAGCCCCCGCCTTAGCCTCCTTCAAGTCCCGCCTCAAAACCCTCCTCTTCGACCATGCCATCGGCCACCCCCCTTCCCCCTCTCTCCCTTCTCCCCCCCCGCCCCCCCGACCCCAGCTCGGGTCTGAAATGCTGTACACTGTCCAGCGCTTTGGGACGTCCTCCCGACGCGAAAGGCGCTATACAAATGTAATCGTGTTGTTGTACACCGCCGAGTGTGGAGATTGACACCAACTCCTCCGCGCGCCTGAAATGACAGTTGGTGTGTCGTTTGAAGCCCCGCACGTGAGGCTTCCACGCAGGCGACGAGCGTCCCGGGGGGGGGGGGGGGGGGGGGTGTGAGGGAGGGATATCAGTGACAGGGAGGTCCGGAACTCTGCGCCCGCGCGTGAGGTGGAGAGGGCCTCGGTGACGGTTGAGCGCGTGCGCCGAGTGGCTGGCCGAGACCACGCGCATGCGCGGAGCGGCGGTGCCGCAGAGTCGGGGATCGAGCCCAGCGATCGGAGAGGAGGAGGAGGAGGAGGACAGCCATGATCCCCAACCAGCAGACCGGCCGCTCGCGCGTCTCCAACGCGGGCTCCATCCTGCTCACCCCGCACGAGAACGACTGTCTCTTCCAGTGCCTGGGAAGGAAATGCGTGGTGAGTGCGCCCGACCTGGGCGAGAGCGGGGTTTGGGCCCTGGTGGTGGTGGGAGAGGAGAGACTGTGGGCCACAAACAGCAGCTCTGAGGCCCAGAGAGCAACTGAGGACACGGGTCCCCCAAAGCCCCCCCTCGGTGGCCCAAGTTATACCTGAACCTCATTTGCTTCAGTTGATGTCTGGGGTTTAATTATTTAAACCGCGCTGTCGCCAACCGCACACAGTGCGTTTCAGAGCTACCTGTTTGCCACCTTTGACTGCCTTATAGCAGCCGGAAATGTTTCGGGGGAGTTTCGATGTTATATAGTGCTGTAATAATAATAAATCCTTGCACCAGATCAGGTTTCGTTTGGGGATCGTTAGTCAGGCCAAATGTTATAATGTTCATCCTTTTCCCAAGAACAAGTGTCCTCCTGTTTGTATCTGTCAAATTGGAAACTTAAATAGCGGCGATCCAGTCCAGGAAACAGGAAAACATATTGCTTCCCTGACGCATGATATGCAGTCACACCCATTAATCGTTTGATTTTTTTTCCAACTTGGAATGAACTTATAAAACTTATTAAATTAGGGTGTGTTGAGTTATGACAAAGATTGAGATACACGGAAATGTTCAGCACTGCAATTAGGTCATTTTGCTCCCGTGTGTTTCCGACACTATTACCCATAACCTTTTTAGAATTAAGAGCACCAATTTATATTTATATACCATGCATATTAGGTAAGAAGTCTCTCAAAAGCGCTTAACGCAACTGACTTGAAGCTTGGCATGGTTGGGGAGCTGAGTAGGGGAGGCGAAAGCACGGAGTAGACCCCGTACCTGTAGATGCTGGAGGTGAAGAAGGAAGGAGCCAGATGAGTGGCGCATGTGCCTTCAACCCTCTTTTAAACTATTTGCCTCTCATCCCTGAATATTTTCCTGCTCGCGTACTTCTCCAGTTCTCTGTTAAACGATTCTATTGATCCAGCCTCATATATTGAATTTAACACTCTTACCGATCCCGTGAATAAAGACATTCCTTTTACCGACCCTGTGAGTGAAAACATTTAACCTCACCCAAATTCTTTTGCAGCAAATTGCGAAACTGCTTCGTTGTCATCGATTCCCCAACTAAAGGCAATGGTTTTACCCTAGTTTCCTTGCCATATAGATTTGTTTATTACTGTAACCACCCTTGATAATCCTACTGTTGCATATGGGCTATTCAGTTTCAAAAGGTTTCTCCCGCTTTCCTGAAATTAAAATTGTCCTGGTATGTGATCCATGGCAACTTATAGCCTTTATTCATGTATTGGTGAGGGCACTGAGTACTATTACCGTCACTGCCTTTCCTCACATTTCCAGTGCCTTGGCAGACAAATCAATTATAGATTCCTTACTATTGCCCCAGCTATAAACATTCACCAAAAGTGAGAGTCACTCTACTTGGTACTCCACTGTATCCTATCAAGCGATTTGAGATGTCCTCTGGAAGTGAAAGGCACTATACCAGCCCACCCCTCCATCGGCAGTTGGGCCTTCAGCCTATGGAAGTCCATCCCACATTCCCTTTGCCTCGCTGCCACCCTTGCCTTCTTCAAGGCGCATCTCAAAATCCTCCTCTTCGACTGAGCCTTTGGCCACCCTCCCTGCCCTCCAGCTCGGGTCCAAATACTTGACTGTCCAGGGCTTTGGGACGACCTCCAGACGTGAAAGGGTCTACACAAATGTAATTTTGTATTGTATTATTAAACTTAATAAACAATACATTGAAGGCACTCTCAGGCAATTGAGTGGCGTTCCGAGTATAAATTTGTTGTTTTTAAATTTGTATGCAATGTTTCAATAGGACTTGAACTGGGATTTCAACAAAAAAATTACAATTCTACAGGGCCTTTCACATCGACTGTCCCAAGGAGCTGTTTCTGTAGAATTAAGTGGGCAATTTGGCCAAGTTGGTTGCTCCCTTGCTTCTGGATCAGAAACATGTGGATCAAGCCCAATGAGTAAGCTCATACTCTTGCTAACACTTCCGTGAATTCTGGACAAGATCATTCCATTATTGGTTACTTCCTTCACACAATGTGTTAAACAGAGGTCAGATGGATGTTACAGATTTTATTAAGACACTATTACAAAAGAGAAGCAAGTTTCTCCCAGTGTCCTGGACAGGGATCCTCCAGATTAGTGGGTCATTCATTTATTGCTGTTTGTGGGACGTTGCTGTGTGCTATTTGCCGCATACGTGAGAGATGACACACTGGCACGGAATCCTTGTTTTTTTTTGTATTTGCGTTTGATATTTGCATTTTCTTGCCTTTGAGCCCATTGGCCTCTTTGCATGTTGTAATGTTCTGTGTAATTCTGAGTTTGCTTACAAAAGTACTTAACAGCAATTTTTCGGAAACACTTTGAATGTGCGAATGTCAGAGGCACTATACTCAATTACAAGAATTTATTTTCTGCAAGTTTATTTTTTGAACCAAATTGACATTTATGCCACTTTACATAAAAAAGCTGCGTTTGCTAGAAATGTTAGTGCTGCACACACTTCTTCAGAAGCAATGAATTTGTTCCATATTTTCACCATTGTTCACAATAAATCACGATCTAGATTCAAACTCCCTCCCTCTACCATTCTGTCTCACCCCCTCTCTGTCTGTCTTCAAATCCCGACTCTTTGAACGTGCCTGTGGCCCCCTCCCTTGCTCGGGGTCCAATCCCATCTCTGTGATTCTCTCTGAAGCATTACTCTGCGTGAAGGGTACTGTGTAAATCCAAGTTGTTGATTATATTCTTTATCATTGGCTATAGAGTTCATTACCAATGCAGAATTGTAAAAGAAAGTGGATATTATAAACATGTCAGTCAGCAAAGGATCAGTTAATAACACATTCCCTTTTTAATAACATTATGTACCTTTACTTTCAGAGAGTACCGTAGTGTTCCATATTTGTTTTGATGATGTCTGTTCTTTTATAAAGTGAACAGCTTGTAGTAGTTGTAACCAGTTGTGAAATGTTTTCAGGAATTAAGTGATTGGGCTTTTACATTCTGGCCTAACTTGAAATACCAGTGTCTTGCCATTTCTCTTTGTAACCTTTTACATTACGTACTGTAAGATTTAGACATTTTCTTACTTAGTCCCATGTGTAAAATTCAGTGCTTTGGATTGTTTTACACGCTGGAATCATGGAAAGTTACTTTGAAAGTTTTTTTTTGTGTGTGTGCTGAAAACTGCTTCCCACAATGGCTCATTTGGGGAAGTCGGTGTGAATCGAAGCCGTACCCACCAGCAACGTCTCAGGGTTAATTCACTTAATGTACTCTGCTCTTGATAGGCCAAAACTAAGGGTCACTGTGCTTGGGTACTGAAACAAGATCCAAGGTCCCATTCCTGCTTGTTCAGTGGTTCCAATGCACTGGTGAGGATGAGATTGGGCTTGACTGCCCCCCTCCATGATTTAATGGGCATCTCTTTGACTGTGACTTTGGTCATCTTCCCCCTCCATATTCCCTCCCCTTAGCCCCTTCCCTCCCGAATTCAACCCCCAGCTTGGATGCAAACCTTCAACTGTCCAGCAACTTAGGACACCCTCCTGACGTGAAATGACCTATACAAATGCAATTTGTTGGTGTTGAGGAATATTTTCAAGCCCCAACTCTAAAATGCCTAAGGTGTCTGCAAGGTTGGGCACTTATTGTTTTCTCTGTGCAGATCTTGCTGCTGTAAGTTCCACCCTGAAATGTAAATGGGCATGTTCTACGGCCACAGGAGTTTTGCACAGTTGTTTTAACAAGTAGTTTTGCAATGGAAATGCAGGACTGAACAGCCCATCTTCACAAATCCACGCGATCACTGGCTTAAAAGGGAAAAACACTGAAAAATATAAAACTCAGATGTTTGTCGGTTCTGATGGCAGGTCGTAGAATGTCTCTCAGGGCAGCTTAATGAACCATCACTTACGGTAAAACATAGTTGATGACATTTCCAGCAATTTCACTTCTCTCACTGCAGAATAATACCAAGCCTGTAATTTCCTATGCCATGATCACAACTGTGTCAAGTTAGCAACTGGTAGGAATAGTTCATGGTGGGAATTTCAATGATACTGACTTGATCTACAAGCTTATCACACATCCTCTCGCCCGGCTCCACTGGCTCCCTATTCTCCAGAGGATTGAGTTCAAGATCTTCGTCCTTACTTGTGAATCTGTCCATGGTCTTGCCCCACTGCGACTTTCTTAAACCCTACCGATCTCCACTCGTGTCTCGTGCCATGCCCACCCCACAAAAGTTAGAGTACTCGCTTTGCAAGTGAGAGACCTGAGTTCAATTCCAGGCAGGGCTAAACTTGGGCAAGTTTCCTTACTCCACACGCCTAATAATAATCCCTCCAATAAAAACAATAATATAAATTGGTCATTTTCAATCCACGACTGTTTGTGGGACACTGCTGTGCGCAATTGGCTGCCGCATTCGCCCACAAATATATTCAATTCACTTTACAGTATATTCTGTGAAGCGCTTTGGGACGTCTAGAAGATGTGAAAAGCACTATATCAAATGCAAAGATTATTATTATAACCAGCGTTCGGGCTTTCAGCCTTTCTTCTCCCACTCTCTAGAAATGCTTCCCAGAGTCCTTCCCTCGCTGCCTTCAAGCTTTGTCTCAAGACCTTTATCTTTGACCTTGCCTTCAGTCATCTTTTACCCACTCCTCCCCTCCCTTGGCCCCAATCCACAGCTCACGTGAACACCCCTCCCCTGACTGACCAGAATCTTTGGATGTCTTCCCGACCTGAAAGGCATTGCTTCAAAGTGCCATCAGAGCAGGAACCAAGCACATTTTCTTTCTATTTTCCAAACATTGTTTTACCTCATATAATCATTAACATGTCTGATTTGATCAATAGCTACTTACGTAAGTTATGCCAAGCTTAAACTACTGGAAGGAGCTGGTGTGAATTGCACTAACGTGAAATCCTACCATCCTGCTTTCAAAGTGGCTTTTCTTTC